TAAACATACATATATGGGAAAAGAATATAATATTTCACGGACCATTAATCTAACTACTTTTGGTATGTAACTTTCATCTTGTTTTTGGTGCAGTGTTTAGTAGTAGATGCTTTACATAGTTATTGGCATATCGCAGAATGTAATTTATTTTATAATATAAATTGAATTCTTTTTTGTTATCGCTGGAACCTGTAAAACCTAAATTTGCAATAAAGTCTTCTTACATTATTCCCTCTGCCCTACATACCATATACTACTTGAAAACATATTGGGTTCTGGCTGTTCTGAGTGTGTTGTGCTGTATATTTTAGCAGAAACAAATTGCCAGAACCACCAGTTGCATGTAAATGAGTAAAACGTTTCCATCAACAGAATCCAAGTATGTTCAGGAACATTAGTACCTGCATATAAACAGTTAATAGTCTTTCGTTTTCATGCTATTATTGCTTTAATAATTTATGGATATGTATCACAAATCTACTTTTCTGATTATATAACTCTGACGCACTGATATGACACTTTAGTAACTAAGTACTCTAACTGTGGCAATAAAATTCATTCCAAACTTTAAAGTAGCGTTGCAATAGATCTTATAATTTTTATTTATTTCCAGTAATTCTTTATTTTTTAGAACCACTAAAGAAAAAATCTCTAGAGATAATTTACCCAAAGAACAACTCAGTTGAAGTCAAACCAGGTAAGTCATTAGTTAATTTGAAAAAGAGACTGCTTTTAGCAGTCCTAGGTAAACTCTAAAATGTTATGATTATTCACTCACTATTTCATTATTTCTGATCTGCAGGATCCAGATTTGACATGGTTTGTAATGTCTCAGTAGATCCTCTGGATAGAGCATCTCTAGTCTGGGAGTTCAATGATGAGAACTTAAAAAACATAGATAAGGAGTATAAGTAAGTACAACAGGATATTTTCCAATGGTCTCTGAATTATTACATTTTCATTCTATGCTGTGGGGTTAGATAGTTACATAAATATGAGGCATGCTTCAGTGTGAAAAAAATTCAGTGAGCTGCATAGCTTGTTCAGC